CTCGCGCCATTTCTTGTAATCTTCATTTCGCGCAGCTGGTAATTTCCAGATCCCGATTCCTTTAGATCGACGACAAGTTCCGCAACCAAATATTGAGCAATTATCGCCGGGCATAGTAATATGTTTGTTGAAAGAATGATTTTTTAACTGGATAGAGTATTTGACTAAAAAATCTCACAATTTGAACCACAACGCTAGCCAAAACAAACCGACGCCATGTTGAAGTTCCGTCAGCTGTGCACGGTCAAAGTCACGTGATCTCAATAAAACCGAACAATAACCTTCCCCTTTGATCTTCGCCGGTCTTCCTAACCATTCCCCTCTACTAACTATGGTTCGACGTTATTCGAATACGATAGTCTGTGTGAAAATCAAAGTAACGGCTCGAAAATAATTGTTAAAGGAATATCTACAGAAAAAAATTATCTACAGAAAAGAAAGAAGACAAAAAATAAAAGTGCTCAAGACGAGATTCGAACCTGCGATCCTCTGTTCGACGCCGCTGTTCGAGTATCAGTCTCGCCGTAAATATTGATAAAACAAATTGCTACGATAAAAATCTAACATGACTAGAAYACTTATATTTCAGTTCAAAAACAGAAAGAAAGAAAAAAAGAATTTTTCAGAAGTGCTCCAGTCGAGGATCGAACCTTTGAACTCTTGATTATGGGACCCTTGGGATTGCTAAACTGCGACGTGAAAAAAATAAAATAAAATAAAGTCAGTAATTACCAAAACCTAACATCTATTTCGCCCTGACCTGCTCCCAGTCTGGCCTTGTAGCTCATCAACGGTAGAGCATCGGTAGYACAAATCCGAGGGTTTTGGGTTCGAATCCCAGCGAGGTCGGAAATTAATTTTTCCGAATTTATTCCTAAGGGTCTTTCTCCCTTAATAACCTCCTTCCTAGCACTGATGATGACATCACCTTGTTCATGCCTTGGTCAATTGTTCATCTTCCGCAAGAGAATCGTTGCTCTCTTCGAATTCGAAAATGGTGTATTGGATATTTAACAATTAGATCTCGAGGGGAGTGGACTACGAGCTGATAGCCCATGAGGCCGAAAGTATAATAATAATGAAAAATAATAATGAAAACTTGTATAGCGCATATACAAGTCTGTTCTATGCGCTCTGTTATAACTAACAAACAAATTAAACTCTAAAAAGCTAAACTAAACAAATAAGTTTTTAGTTCTTTCTTAAAGGACAGCAAAGAGTCAATGTTTCTTAAATCAGATAGGAGAGAATTCCATAAAGTAGAGGCAGCAACAGAGAAAGAGCGAGAGCCATATGTTTTCGTCGAGAAAGGTTTAACAGATAGGAGTAGTTATTTAGAGGACCGAAGCGTTCTTTTAGGTTTGTATACAGAGATCAGTTCAGAAATGTAAGACGGWGTAAGACCATGTAGTGCTTTGAAGGTAAGTAGAAGAATCTTGTAATTAATACGTTGACGAACAGGGAGCCAGTGTAGAAGTATGTGAAAATAAATTAATTTACTACACGCTGGTGAAAGCTGGTTTGAGTAAACAACTTAAAATGGTCTTTAACAGATTGTTTAGTTGACCCAAAATATTTCTAAAAGAAAATTAAAATTGGCGCTTTTCACTAGTCGAGGACTATTGAAAATATACACCGAGTAGCGTGGCCAATCAGAAAGTAGGAATTTGCAATACAGTAGTCCACTAGTATGGTAATACTAATCACTTAATAAGCGCGTTGCGGATAGTTTTTTCTGCGATTTTTTCCACTTGCTTCTTCATACTTCGGTATTTCTCTTCGATTTGTAGAGAAAATCGCACGACCTTGAGAGTACAATTTGGAATTAATTCANTAATATAAAAATTAGGTAAAACCTAATAGCGGAGCTCCCAAAAGATATGCATGTTGGATAAAGATGGGATGCAAGACACATTGGTCACATTTTTAGTACATGTTTTGTCAAGACTAATTTATTTTTTCTAACAAAAAAATTCCATTGCACTTCATTAAATAATTATTAAATATTTTCTCTTCAGCTTTGATGATGCAAAGCAGTGATACATATAAATTAATATATGTAAAAAAAAACACAATTTCTTATGAAGGAATGAAGAGTACACCATGTTATAATGCTAAAAACATAATTTAGGTTATTTACCAAAATAAAACTTCTTTAGATAGAGTACAAACACTAAAACTGTGCAACATAAATACCACTAAATACTGCTAAATTATGCTAATTCTATTGTTTTCTATTGTTTAATTAACATTATTTTGTACTAAATAGTGGAAAGTATTGCACATATTTAATGTTTGTACTCTAATATTACAGAAATCATAAATTAATAAAAATTATTAATATATTTTGAAACTTTGACTTTTCAATCATACAGGATTTATATATATTATTAAATGCATTTTGACAGTTGAAATTTTTCAATCATGCAGAAATACGGTAATAAAAATAATAACAAATGCATCTTTATATGTCAAATTTGTTGATGCAAAAATTGTTTGCAATTTTTTTGTAAATTCTTAATAGTTGGTATTTTTCAATCTTTACAGGAATCATAAAATAATATAAATGCATTTTGACAGTTTTGGTATTATTCAATCATGCATAAATCATAAATTAATAATTAATATGTTCTTGAAATGTTCAAAATTTTTGATCTTATAATGAAAATGTTACACACTTTTGCTTACACCAATGTCATTTAATAAACAGAACATTACAGCTGTCACTTAAAGATATGAATTTTATCTTCAAGTTTTGAATATATTTATCCCACGAGTTAGCACAATATTTCCATGCACCCATGTAATATCCTTTATTTAATCACACAGGAATGATAAATAATAATAAACACATTTTGGCAGTTGATATTTGTCAATCATACAGTGATCCACAAAAATGATTTATGGGTCATTTATGCAATTTGACAGTTTTGGTGTTTTTTCAATCACACAGGAAACATACGTAATAATAATTTAATCACACAGGAATGACATTAATCAATACATTTTTGACATACAGTGATCATAAATGATAATACATTTTGACAGTTTTGTAAACAATTAAAGGAATCATAAGCTTAATGTTCATGATGATTATCCATTTTTCAACTTCTCAAATTCTTTGCTTATCTTTGCTCTCTGTATTTGTTGACAGTTTGTATTAAAGAGTTTATTGAAGAATAAAGAGTAAAAATCTGAACATTCAAATAATATCAAGGCTCTCTTTTCAAAATGCATAGTTTTATAAATTAAAACATCCGAGTAGTTTTATGTCAAAGAAGATTATTATTGTGGATAGAATGTACACACAATTCACACATATTTTCATTGTCAACAAGCTCATTTAATTGAGAAGTATTGAAGTGTATCAGGTAAAGATTTTCAAATTCAAAAGCAAATTTAAACCAGACTAAAACTGCCTAAGGTTCTTGAAGTAGAAGAATTGATATAATTGAGCACCAAAAACCGCTTGCACGTATAATCTAACATACCGCCATTTGTTTAATAACGCCACGGTATCGTCGGAGAATATGTCAGTTCTCCTATGAGAAATTCTCCCTCAATAATCGTTGTCTTTGGCGTTCACTTGTTTCTCGATTTGCTTGAGTCTTTATTAAATTGTTTCGTCTATCACATTTTCTCTCCCTTTCAAGCCTGCGTTGTTCTTCACTTAGACTTCTTCGACGCTCTCTTTCTCTTCTTCTTGTCTGTTCCTCTTCAGATAAAGATCGCTTTCCGTTATTTACCCGTTGATTTTCCGACATTTGGCGCAGAAGTAAAGTATTTCAAAGGACAAAAATGGAGTCGTTGTGTCGTCGTTGTGGTGAAAAAGTTGTTTCAAAAATTGACGCGAGCGCGCTTCCTTTTCCCGCCTTCTCAAAAGTAGCCAATCAGAATCGCGATGTACACGGACGGACGGACGGACGGACG